CGCATGACCTTAACCACATCTTTGCATGGCGACTCGTCTAATACCCCTTCCTCAGATATGATATCCTCGGTAGAAGATTCTCCCACTAAGGATACTGAAAATGTTATCAATTTCCTTGGAACAGGCATTCTCCACATCTATTACATTCATAACTTTGACGGAAATTGGTCGCCTTGGTAACGCGCAATTTATTGTTAGCTCATATCCGCTTAGGTGGTAAGGTTCAAGTTGGTTGCCATCGAATCTAACGGCCGGCTCAGAAAACGTGATATTTGGACTTAAACCATCAACCATAACATGACTCGAGTTGCGCCGAAAAACTAGTGTGAGCCTTGCGCTACTTTGTTCTGGATCTTGCAGTAGGTTAAATTCCTACCTATCCAGTTATACAGAATTGACGTCGGCATACACAATATACATACATATGTCCTGCGTGCAATGAATCTCCGCATGACTCTAACTACCTGCTTGCATGCCCAATGAATTGCTCTCATCTAGCAGCTCTCACCCAATCATCCGACGCCGTCCAAACCGTCATTTCACTTAGAAGGGTTGCGTTGACGACAGCGCAGACCATTCGCACCGATTTTGACGTGCTATATTGATACTACTAATACATTGAATGAATGAATCTAATGTTTAATTTTTATTAGAAGTAATAGTAGTAATAGACGAGTTATTTTGCGATGAGTTCATCTGCACCTGCACCTCTTGTAATTGCTATTTTGCTACCATAGAGTTGCGAGTTGGTAATTCTGTTTTTGAAATACCAATGTACAATTTTTTCACATGTCCTTTTATCGCTAAAAAAAGCTGTTCGCTTGTTAACAATCGGAATTCCATAAGATATAAAAAAAAATTTTATTTGACAATGTGTCTTTACAAAATTTGGCATGTTTTATTGTTCGAGGGAAGTTTCCAATGTCCAAAGAAATGATTCAGATCGGGCAGCTCATGCATATGGGTGTCAGACAAACTGATTCATCAAAATCAAGTTCTTACAATGAAAACTTGAACTTGTAGAGAATTATAGCTTCGATGCAACCGCAGTTTTTTCTTGTTTTGTTATTTTATAAAGATACTCAAAGCTTTGTTGGTAGATTTATGCAAATGTATCTAAATGAAATATATTCAAGTAATTAGCAATATTTAAAATTAATCATAGGATTAATATTTTTCTACAACAGTTTAGTTGTAGATGCAAGTTTTCAAGTTTAAGATATCATACTACTCTGATTGGGTAGTTAGTGGCGTCTTGAAGTTGTCGGCATTAACAATCTCTGCTTTGAACTTTTCTCTCTCATCAAATACACCTGCTACCTTGATAGAAATGGAATGAGAAAATTTCAACCTGTAACTTCTATTGTAGCACATTTGTCAGAAAAATACGTAAGTTCGTGAATCATGTCTGCATCTTCGTATTTTTTTATAAATAGAACGAACATCTTGCTATACTTACTATACTATATTATAATAATTATTCCTAGGGTAACTTAGTAGGTCACGCTATGAAGAGCAGTGTTCTTGTCCTTGTCTTGTGACTTTGACCGTACCAATATAGTCGAGTAAATTTTTAAGCACACCATTTCAAATACAATAATTATTTAGTTGAGTTATTTTATTCCTGCGTTCCAACTTTAAGTACGATTTCAAGAGGTTTAAAGAGAAAGTACCAATTACTAATATTAGTTTTAAATGGATGATATGTCTTATAAAGTGGTTGAGATGACTCGACTCGAATTATTTTGTGCTGATTGCTCGGTATGACACTTTCTAAAAGTATACAAAGTGCTTACCTTGTGTTGCATGAACTTACAAATATCCCCTCGTAAATATAACATTAAGCATATTAATATCAAATATAATTAAATTATATAACTCCTGTTCCAATTAAAAAATAATTAATCAATAATTGTTTAAAAATATAGTATGTGGGGTTAGAATTGGGTCACTAAGGGCTGGTGTAATTACAGTAAGTAATTGTCAAGTACATTCATTTTTGTTACATAGGCGTTTAACGTTAAATCTTCATAATTCATCTGGCATCGTATCTACCCACCCAGCACAGGCTGCTGCCAATAAGGTAGTCGTAGATTTACTGCTCCGGATTGCAGCCTCCTTAAGAGAAGTGACTATCCACTCTGATATCTGAGCGGCGTTACTGTCCTTGAGCTCACTAAACCTCCGAGGCGAGGTGGAAACATTTCAACACTTCCTTGTTCTCTGAGCGCAGATATCCCACCCAAATGGTGGGAATAGAAAGTAAACCCTTAAGCAAATTAGTATTGTACGCAATAACCTTCCAACACTTATAAAATCGGATACCGGTGTTCAATTTTTTATGGCTTCACAAAGGACTGCACTGCCATCGGACCTAACCTAACTTTTTTGCAGGAGTAGCTTAAATTCATTATGAATTAGCTGATTGTAAATTATACATATATGTATGTTAGTATGAAAAATTCTATGCCAAATTTTTTTACATAGCTACATACAAAAGTAATAAAGATATATTTCTTCAATTCAAAAATATACCCGACGTTGACTCAGGGACCGACTGCCAGATTTAATAATAATCGTTGTGGTCCGTTGAAATTTATGTATTAAGAATATTTATATATGATAATGTTGTATAATGATGTAGTAAATACAAAGTTGCAAATAATAGTCTAATTCTATTATTTACTAGAATATTCAATCATTATATAATATAATATTATGTAAATATTCTTATATTAATAATAAATAAAATTAAACATTTTTAAAAATAAATTGCTTTTTTTACTGCAAAAATCACTTTAAACATATACCGTAGGTGCATTGCAATCTCTGTACCACGAACTCTGAAACAAACACCTAATACAGGGTCCGGCATTCGAAGTGTAACCAACTTCAGAGTGTTCGCGCAGCTGTCGCACTGGAATCAGCTGTTTATAAATTTGCAGAATGACAGTTCGGAGTATTGTGCACAAGTGTACAAAAGCGTTTTGCCAAAAGTGAACGCAAAAAAAAGTGATCAGCGATGGAATTCAAACGTAATAGTGTGATTGTTTTATATTTAGCTGGGAAATCACAGTCAGCAATTGCTCGTGAGCTAAAACACCTTAATGTGAATAACGTTTTTGTATATCGAACCATCATTCGTTACAATGATACTGATAGCATCGCAAAACGCCATGGAGGTGGTCATCAAAACACTGCAACGTCACGTGAGATGGTTCGGAAAGTGAAGAAGCGACTTGAGCGACATCCACGACGAAGTGCCAATCAAATAGCTAAAGAACTGAAAATATCCGACCGCAGCATCCGACGCATAATGAAAAATGCGCTCAAGGTCAAGCCTTACAAGTTCCAAAAGGCCCATAATCTCACAGCGAAGCAGCAACAAGTAAGGCTTGAGAGAACTTACTTGAGTTGCTTCGCTTGGCCGAAAGCGGTCAAATTCCGAACATTGTGTTTTCTACTGAAAAAAATTTTCCATTTGAGCAATTCGTAAACTCTCAAAACGATAGGGTTTACTTGACCGACCGTTCATACAGGAGTCTAAGTCATCGGTTGGCCACCAGGGGGCAGCACCCGCCACAAATATTGGTTTGGGCCGTTGTCACCGCAGATGGGCGCTCTCCAATTGTTTTCATCGAGCCTGACATCAAAGTAAATTCCACATATTATCGGGAAAGTGTGCTGGAGGCTGCTTTAAAGCCGTGGGCAACCAAACCTTTCGGAAACCATGGATGTTTCAACAAGACTCAGCAGCGTCTCACAAAGCGCGAGTGAACCAAGAATGGCTGAAAAACAAAGCGCCGAACTTCATTACGACCACACATTGGCTCTCGAATTCACCAGATGCGAATCTAATGGTTTATTCTCTCTGAGCCATTTTGGAGAGCAAGGTCCGAAGTAAAAAATACACCAGTCTCGAGATGCCAAAATACCGGCAAGTCACTTTCGGGCAGCTTGCAATTCGTTTTTTGACCGTCTCAAAGCCATAGTTAAGGCAAAAGGTGGTCATATTGAGCAAATTCAAAGTGAATTGGTACTGAATTTATGATTACTTTCACACACTTTGTACTTTAAAATAAATAAAAATAATTTTCCAAACCGAATTTATGGGTTTTTTAATTGGCACACTTCGAGTGCCGGACCCTGTATAATTAAACTGGTGTCGTCTAAAAAGAGAGAAGTAAATTGTTCACATAAAATCTGTATATAGACATAAAATACATAAAATATTTCCAGTAGCTCATTAGAACTTTTATGTACTATTCTGGAGAGAAAAAATCACGGTTAAGTCCCTATAGAAAAAATATTTATTTCTTAATGAGTCTTCTTTTGAATTTTTTATAGACTCTAAATATTTTATTAATTACATTTTTGAACTATAACTATAATTAAATATTGTTGTACTTCCGTAAATATTTTCCATCGATTTGACACATTTCTTTTTCAATACTGTTATCTCACGAATCTATATGTAAGAAAATATTATGCCGAGGCTCTTCTGTAATACACAATTTCTCTCCATAGGTTTGGATTTTTATTAATTTTAACTACTATGAAACTATTTCGATGCTCACTTATTTAATTAAAATTATATTGCTTATTAATTAGAACTAGGAGGTTCACAGAAAGAGAAAAGGAAAATGCGAAACGTCACGAGCTGCATTATTAAACTATTATCTAAACTGGGGATGAATTTAAAAAATATTTATAACACCGGAACACGTAATTTAATCAAAACAAAACTAACATCAGAATAGTTTGAACAATTAAAGGGTATAAAATATAATTATTACACTTCGTGAGCTTTCTGCATGCTGAACAATGTGTAAGTATTTAATTGTACTGATGTATATTCTATTCCATTTTTATTTTCAAAGCGATTATCCCCTCATTAAAATTCATTTATCAAGAGTTGAATGCATTAAACAGCGAATATCTATATGAGGGCTATCGGCAAGATATACGAAGTTTTCAGCTGATATAAAAGTACAACGGCACTGTGAGATAAATTTAGAGGGCATTTCGTGTTCGAATCTAGTGGTTTTACCTGCGCGTTCGTAAGAGTTTAAGTGTAAATTGTTTAAAATGAAGTATTTCGTACTCTTCCTGGCTATCTGCAGCTTAGCTATCTCCTTTAGTGAGGTACAGAAATGGGGATCATATTAAAAACGAAAAAAAAAAAATAAAAAATAAAAAAATTTTTTTTGATGATTGTGTGTTGATTTTTAAGATTAGTACGTGGCAATAAAACCTGAATGTAGCGCGAGTGGTTATAAAAATATTCAGCTCTGTAGTTTGAGATTTGAACTGAATTTGGACATCGACGCGCATCTACCAGCTACTGCGCAGCCTCTTTTAAGAGAAGTAACTATCCACTCGCATAGCTGGTCGGCGTTTCCAGCTTTGAGCGCACTAACCTTGTATTCAAGGCCGGTTAAGGAATGCCAAACCACGTTACCAATAACATCAAGTCACTCTGTGATAAGACTAGTATGTGTGTCAGGCCGTACCGGAATCTGCTATGAGTAGGATAGGAACGAATAGATGCTCCACTCTCCTAGTGTGCTCTACTATTGGATAGTTGAGCCTCGCTAAAGTTTGACCAACGCTGAGCCACCATCGGTTTATGCGCAAGATTTCATGTCGCAAGATTGATGGTAAGACATCCAGTGAGCTCTTTGCCCATAGTAAGACTCTTATTTAAACAGAATTTGGACATCTACCGGCTACTTTTTCCTAGATCCAATCTCATAAATAATAAGTACTATTTCGGATTTGAAATAAACGTCATAAGATGCGTCATATACATATGTATGTGCGTGGTTGTTGAAACTCTATAAGGTTAATAAGTAAAGCTCAAATCTCTGGGCATTTCTTTACGCCAATTTTACTTATAATCACTGAATTAAAGCTTTGGTAGATTAACCTTTAGAAATCGTTGTTTCTCAGTCTTTCCTGTTACAACTAATTTCGGACAAAATATTTACATAGTTTGGAAAGAAAAATGTTTGGTGTTGAAATGTGTTCTTTTAGTGTAAATATGCTAAAACAGAACATTGTAGACAGAAGTAGCCTCTCGGTAGTTCATGAATACCAACGAAAAAATTACTTCTTCGCGTCGTCACCAGAAACAATCCTAAAGCTAAAGAGTATTCCTGACTTGTAAGTTTCCGCTTACAACTGGTTCTTAGTTTCTGAGGTAGTTTTTAAGACTCGTCACTTGTTAGAATACAGTTTTAATTTATCATCCTAATAACTATCAATACCATTTTTCGAACATTATGAATGTTACCGTAACTCTTAGTACTGATTCAAGTAACGGGGCAAACGAAACTTTATATTGTAAGCACTCAGAGCTACTATATATGGTATTACGAATTGTGGTCTTATAATTACTTATTTTAAATCTGTTGGCAATGAATATTAGTAAATGATTAATATTGTTTTTAAAATTTAGGCAGATGAGTTTGGGGAGAAAGTTAAGAAAATGGCTGGAGAATGTAAAGAGCAAGTTGGTGCAAGTGATGGTATGCATCATAGAAATTGAAATAGATAAAATATTTTATTTTTAAATTAATCTTGCAGACGATGTAGCACGATTGTTCAAATATGAGCCCGCCGCTAATGACAAAGCAAAGTGTCTAAATGCTTGCCTTATGAAAAAAATCGGCATCGTGAGTATGCAATTTGAAGTTTTTTCGAAACTTTAAAAATCAAAAATTGTTATTTGAATAGTTGGATGAAAATAACAAAGTGATCGAAGCTGCGGCTATAGCTTATGTAAAGCAGGTATCCGGTGGCGATGCAGAGTTTGAGAAGCTGAGCATGGAGACTTATAACGAATGCAAGAGCACTCCGGAAAGTAGCGATGAGTATGTGACAATGCCATTAATCTTTTTGACCACTTAAGCATTTTATTGTTGCCTAAATTTGCAGATGTGAGTACGCTGAAGCTTTTCGTCAATGCGTTATCGAGAGTGCGAAGTCCAAAGACATTAAGATTTTACCTCAAATCTAATTTGTTGCTATCTACTACTGACCAGCTGATACTTTAAATACAGAAAATGAGTAGCCTTTATTGAGAAAACAAAAACTAAATATGTTATATGTAAATACAACAATAAATATATAAATGCAAATGTAAAAGTAAAAGTAAATATTAATTTGTGGAGAGTTTGAAGAGAGCTTTCGTCTACTATAATTGATGAAGCTTTTTAGAAATATTTTCTTGAAATATCGAGACTAAGCGGGGAAATTAAAAATATGTACTTTATCTATAACTTGTAGACTAGTCGGAGCCAAGCTCTTCCGTATGACATATTTTTCAAACCAAATTTTGGGTTTTAAATCAGATATCTGAATTCGGAAACGGATTGGTTATTTCGGAAAGATTAGTTGCTGAATTTGGTGTCAATGTATTAAGGTATAGTATATTAGTCTAGGTGTGACCAAAAGATTTATTTCCGCAGGCAAACGACAACAGCCGATTGATTTTGTAGGGAGTCAAATGAGCTATATCGTGATTGACCCGGCTTTAGTCAATTCCGTTTGAGAAAAAGTCTTTTACCGCTACCAATCATCATTAGAACAGCCAAAAGAACGAAGTAAGTTTAAGGAGACTCTTCCACTTCGGTCCTGTGCCTCTTCATTTGACTCCAACTTTTTTGGATATATTTGGATGTCCGAATTCCTTCTCCATGTTAGTACGAATCGATATTTTCGTTGGCTGCCTTGTGAATTTCCGTCGATAGCGTTTCGACTCGAGATTCGAGTTGAATATTTTTATTTTGGTACGTCGGGTAATGATCAAGCAGCTTTATACATAGTAGCACTTTTATCCATGATTGTATGGATCGTAATTCTATAGTAATCCAATAATATCCATGATTGTATGGATCGTAAGAACTATTCCACACTTCCTTTGGGTCTTAGTGTTTGAAAAGCTGTATTAGCGCCATCTATCTTGTCGACTTGTAAACATTGGAAACCTTTGAAATAACAAACCACTTTTTATATTTATAATATACAATAGGTAGGAAAAGTCTGTGTACAAGGTAAAATACTTGTTGGAAAAAGGCTTATGCATATTTTTTATAAAATGCAAGGGATACTTGTTTATTTTATAAAACAGACAACTTGAAATTGCATTAGAAAAAGTCAATCGAAAAAGGTATTCTTCTTAAAAATTCATGGGAAGTAGGATATACCCTACACTTTAAAACAACTGCTTTGGATTTTTGCATGGAATAGAGCAGTTTAGAGTTTTCTACCGAAAGGTTTTCAAACCACAATTCTTCCACTTGCGCTCATCAGAAAAATTAACTCTCAGAGTTTGTTTGAATGCTCTTTCGCGAAAGCATTACGATTTTACATATTGACAAGAGAGATGAATTTCTTAATATGTGCGCCTTTGTGCTAATATTTTAACCGTTCTGGAATGGGCGACTGGGTTGTTTGTGATTTTTTGTTACCCTTTGCAGGCATGTAGGTAAATGAACTCAAGTAGGAGTAATAATCGGTCACTGTCCAATTGGTTGACTTGCCATGAGACTACGAATGATATATAACGACTACTGGAGAAGCTCTCAGGAGTTGGAAGAGACAATTAAAAATCCTCTCTGCGATTGTAACGCCCTAACATATGTATATAAGAAAATAATATCAACTATCGGTCGACGGTTTCTTGACGATGGGTAGTACAGAGAGAATTCAATAGAGTGAGGGAACTTTAATTCCAGTGGTTTCACAATAGACCACCTAAAGTTCGAAGTTCTACCTACCTACCTAATAATTTTTTTTTTTTTAAATTTTACCGATTTTACAACATGTTTTTCAATCTTCTCAAAATCTAACCATTATTTTCCTATGAGGAGCTTATTTCTTACACAAGCAAACCTATAATCAAACCACTTGTACGCATACTTTATCTGCCAAGTGTATTTTCAACTATGAGCAAATAATAATAAGACTTTGTTCATAATTTTAAAATTCTTAATTTAATTTTCAAAATCTGTGTCGCTTCCTTAAAGTAATTGCCCCAATTGCTTTTCCAATCCTCGAAACAGTTGTTAAAGTCAATTTCCGGAATCGGCTTCAATATTCACATTTAATGTCTTCAATTGACTCAAAGGGTTTTCTCGAAGTCGTTGAGTTTTATGTATAGTATAGCCTGAAGTCACATCGAGCTAAATTAGGCGCTTACGGTGGTTGCGATTGGTTGAAAATTTGGTGTAAAAATCAGTAATTGTCGACCCATAATGGCGGCCTCTTTTTACGAATAGATTCGCGCAAAAGAGGCAAAACACAAAAAAATAGTATTCCTTGTTGACAGTTTGGATGGTCGGAAGGAATTCAGAGTGCACTACACCTCTATAATCGAAGAAAACTGTCAACATAACCTTTATTGTTGAACTGTTTTGAGGTGGTTTTTTCGACTTCAGCCCATCTTTGCAACGATATTCGGAAGACTGATCATCTGTTTCCGGGCCGTAAGAATAAAGAATGCTCATCGCCAGTAACAATACTCTTCATAGTCGGAAAGCATTGTTCACCAGACGTTAACGCGACGCTGATTTTCGAAAACTTTTTTATGATTTTCTAATCAATTGTGCTTTCACTTTTCTTATGCCCAAATGATCTTTCAAAACGATTTTCAGTGATGCTACCGATATTCCGACGATGCCAGTAAGATCTCTGATTGTTAATCGTCGATTTCCAAGCACCAATTTCTTTATTTTATTGACATGTTCATTATCAGTTGATGATGATGCTCGTCCTGGGCGTGGTTCATCGTCAACGTGTTCTCGACCCTCTTTGAATAATTTGTACCAATCAAAAACACTTGTTCGCGACAAACAATTATCACCGAAGGCCTTTTTCAACTTACGGAATGTTTTATCACCAGGAATTTGATTTCGCACACAAAATTTAATGAACTTCTTTGTTGAATTTTTCACTCATCGTAAAAATCACCGAATGCACTTTATGTGCTTCAGCAAGACAAGCTTATACGAGTACTAACCAACAGTAATTTTTTTGTTATGACATTTGGCACAGATATTACTGACAATTATACCAACCTAGAAAAATATATTTCGACGAATAGGTTTTCGCACGAAATTTAAATTAAAAATACTTACTATTTTTTGCCCGCGGTAGTATTTGTTTAATTCAACTCATACAATTTATGTGGTTTATTTATTTAATAAAACACCATAAAAGTGATGTAATTATAGGCAAATTGTCACCTTGTCGAGCATTTCGGTGGTGTAATGTTGGCTTGGACATTAATGTTAGCCTTGAGTTCGTATTTGAGATATTGTCATTCATTTGCCAGTAGATCTAATAAGTTGACTTCAATCGGTTTCGATTTCGTTTCATGTTGTTTAAAAAACTAAGATGCCATGAGAGCCACGCTGACTCACATCTATCAGCTGTCAGTAATTACAAACATCCAATTTGATCCATAATTTCCCAGCCTTAAAACTTTAATCGATCGCACTCGCATTGTCAATTGTCTTTCTTTAATTGATCGCTATTTTATTGTGTGAAAATCTTGAATGATTAGCTGCCCACAAGTCGTTAAACGTTAATGATTAGAGCAACCAATTCGCAAGGCAAATGTCATTTTAATTGTTCAAAAACATATTTATTCACATGTGCAAAAATTAATTTTAGTTTGCACGCAACTTTGATTAGGTTTTATAAGTTTTTAGTCTTTGCTAAGATCCTCACATGACTTATAGCATATAAAAGCACAACAAACGCTCTGAAGAAGACATTATTAGAATTGTTTACACCCAGATTGAACGGTCGAAGTTTCTTATTTTAAAAATAACGTGTTGGTAATTGAAAAAATGAAGATCCTCAATATTTGCTTGATAGTTGGTGTAGCGCTTATATCAAAGGCTAAGGTATATTAAAAGTGTAGTTGGAAGACTGGGCAAAATTTTAAAATGAAGAGCACATAAGGGAGTTGTCAGTATGACATAAACAGCGAGAAGAGGCCTTCAATACATATACCACAGTCCAATTATAAACTCTTTGTGGGAGAGTAGAGCTAATATTTGACATTTTTCAAACGGATATTCCAAAAAAAAATTCAATAAGACACATAATTAAACACGAGTGAGTGCCAATGCTACCTAACAGAAAAGAGAAAATGTCCTACATTTCAGAGAACAGATCGAAAGCAAATGAACTTTGCTAAAAATACGAAACCCTTAACATTTGGAAAATCAATTATATACCAGTAAGAACGGTTTACGACTAAAATTTGCTCAATAAATACAGCTAAATACCATCAAACACGTTGAAAAGCTAGTCTAAGTCACTTATTTTACACCAGCTGTCGACAACTTTATTTTGGTGTGTGCTGTTCACTTTCTCGGCATTCTTAGACTGACTTATCGGTTCTCTGTGGTATTTGTCAAGGTACTCTGTCTGCTAATCTTCAGGTTGGTGAATCAAAAAGGCAACACTCTACTTTGAAAGCTTCAAGCGTCACTTTCCGCTGCATCGTGTCAGAAAATTATTTCTAAATACGGAAATGAAGCCCACTATAAATGTTGCAAGATATCTGAACTAACAGTAAAACTCAAATTATTAAAAGTGAATTAGATTTCACAAAGCAAAGCGAAGTGAAGATGGTTGCCGTTGTCACTTTTCCTTAATCTTTTATCAAACCTTTCCTATTAACTAGACATCTGTGGAAATTATGTGAAAATTTCTTAACAAATAATGCTTGCATTTAGCAGATGGATGTATTTCCTATGCATATAAGAATAATTAATTTTTACTTCCAAAACAGTGCAATTTTGAAGAGGCGAAAGCAGTTGCAAATGAGTGTAAGGATGAAGTTGGTGCAACAGATGGTAAGTGAGATCCGCTATTTCAACGAAAAGATTTAATTGTTATTGCGAAATAATTTACAGATGAGGTTGAGTCGGTTTTGAAGTTGGAAGCAGCTGAGACTATGACGGAAAAATGTCTGGGTGCATGCGTCATGAAAAGATTCGGTGCGGTGAGTTGAGTTATTTTTGATTACATACAACAAATCATGAAATGTATGTGATTACTGATTTTTGCTGCTATTTGTACAAGATGAATGGCGATGGTAAGTTTGATAGAGAAAAAGCTATGGAGATTTTGGCAATTATCGCCAACGGCGATGACGAGCAACATGCCTTGGGCGTGGAAGTTCTAGAGGCATGTGCTGACATTGACGTAAACGAGGATCAGTAAGTGCTTAATGCATATAATTTTGGAGATTTGCATATATAGTAAATAATGAATTGGTATCTCACATGTGCAGCTGTGAAGCAGCTGAGGAATATCGCTCCTGCATGCATGCCAAAGCAAAGGAAATTGGCTTTGTAGTGGGGCGTGTTTAAATTTGCTTCAATTGAACGACAAAACTTGGATATACGTGATGACGATTTTGGCTTAAAAATTATTATTCATTAACCATATTTTATGTTCGGCTGTTTCTCTGTACTCTCTGTTTTAAAATTGTAAAAAATATGTAACGCTTTAGTAAATAAATAATTATACTACAATGCTTGACGTACGAGTTGTACTATAATGCCAATGATTTTGGATTGGAAGCAAGAATTGATCTGTTTCAGATACCGCCTAAGGAAAATATCAAGTTTTTATGGTGTAGCTGCTTTCTCAGCTTTTTCATTGGTACTTTGCGCATCTAAATATGTCAATACTCATAAACCCATGTCTCATCGGCAATTTTAATCCTCTCCATAAATATGTGATCGGAGTTCGGACGATCAAACATGTTCAAGGTGACCTACATATATGTGTGCTCTTCAGTTTTATTGGGACGAGTCGAGCAAAAACGCGTTTCCTATCCAAAATATGCACCGAAATCATTCAAACGGACTCGCAAGAGATGCCGAACTCTCTTGTCATCTCTATAGCACTTCTCCGACGATTTTCATCATTTGAAGAGGTCGAATAGCGAGGTACGCCTTCAACGATCTCCCGACCATCTTTCAAAACTAAAATTGCATTGAAAAATTCTTACGAAATTGTGGAATACGAAAACTAAAAGAGCAATAATTAATTACTTATATAAAGATTACTTTCGGATATGTATGTCACACAATAGAATGTAAGAACCTATCATAGGGTCGACCATACAATTTCAAACTGACTAGATTAGACGACTTCTATATACCCATGGCCGTATAACAGAACAAATTTTTAAAACACGCAACCTTCTTTTTCTCAACTGGCGTAGAAACAGAAAACGATTATAGCTGAGTTAACATTTGATATGCTGAGTTAATGCCAGTCGTTTCTTCCTTTCCTTCTCCACCTGGTCTTTCCAACGGAGTGGAGGTCTTCCTCTGCTTCCCCCGAAGGAGGGCCGCCACGTAAAGAACACTACCAATGAAAGCTAAAAACTCGCAACCAGTCGGGATAATTAAACGAAAATTATTAAACTGTAATTTCTTCTATATACAAGTGTATTTTTATTAAGAACCGTTACGTTCCTAAGCTTCAATTGATTAGTATACTTGAATTCCTTTCACACAGACTTTATCATGACTTCAATATTTTTGACTACAAAGAGTTTATTTCTCACGAATATATTTTGTAATACAGTACATTATTAAATATTAAACATGTATTAGTATATTTGCTTATGGAAAGATTGTTTAACAAACCAACCCTCTAGAAATAGCGAACATTTCGTGGTGAAGAGTGAACCAACTTCGGCAGTTCTGATTTATTGAAAGAAAACTAGCAAACAAATGCTTGTCTACCACTCAGAATTCACTGTTCGGTTGTTCTATTGGTAGGGTTGCGATATGTCTCTTTTTTTTTTCAAAAAACACGCAATTATTTGTTTCGAAGTGTCCTATGCAAAAACAACTTTGGTTGGATTCGACTCATCTGGAAACACCAATACAGTTGACTGCTGTTTACTTTTGAGCTCATACGCGTAAGTCCACAATTCATCACCTGTTACGATGACATAGACGTTTTTCAAAGCAACGTTATCGTATTTTGTTAACATTCCTCTCGACTAATTAGAGAAATTGTGTGGGGTCCAACGTGACCTAAATTTTTTACAGTCAAATGTTCATGCCCGTAGGTGTCTCAATCTCATGATTTGTCACATAACGATCTTGCAATATCAGTTTGCGCACTGCGTCAATATGGTAGTTTCCGGAACAACAACTGATTTTGAACGATCTTTATGAAATACGTCTTGGAATCATATCCCACTTCGATTAAATTCAGCTTACACTCAATGAACGCTAGTTCTTGATAAAACTTCATTGTCAAAAATGGAATTAAGTGCAACCTTGCACTGTTCCTAAGTTAATTCGACTTGAAACTTGCAAATGGTACGAAATGAATATTTTAAGTTACTGTAAACAGCACAAGTAGGAATCGTTTGTCAAAACGTTCTTAGTAAGTGTAATAGTAAAATGTCAAGCTTTATGATAAAATTGCCACTATATTAGGGTTGCCAAATCCTTAATTACAACCGGCATATCCATAACAAACAATTTTTTATTTAGACGAATAATTAACGCCTTTAACTTATATTGTTAAAAACATCTACAAAAATTATAAAACAGGAGATCCTGAGACCTGTAAAGCAAGGTAAGTTTTTGTCCAATTTCAGGTATTCTTCGTCTCCAACTTCTTTTTTAGTAGTTTCAAAGAATACTAAAATATAAATCGGCATCTTTAACACCGATTATTTCATAACTTCAAAATGTGGGAGAATTTCGCGATCATGTGTTTTAACCGAGTGTATTTGATAAGCAAAAGTAGTGCACTAAAATGTTGAGACAACTATTTGGTCCACAAATATATACTACTGCGATCAAATTGAAAGGTGAATTTTGTCCATTTCATCTCCTTCAAAGTAATCCCTTCCTGCTACAATACACTTATGCCAATGAATTTTCCAGTCATTATAGCACTTGGAAAATTCCTCAGAGCCTTCTTCGATTCGGCTTTTATATCCTCAATTGAGTCAAAACGGTGTCCTCGGAGTGGTCATGTGAATTTGCTGAATAGTAACTGTAAATCAGCCGAATGCGGTGGCTGCGGTACGATATTAGTTGAAAATGTGGCGAAATGATCACGAATAAGAAATGCAGCATGCCATGGTGCATTATCGCACTTCTTTGTTCAATAAATTCAGACATAGTAAAAATAGAAGAATTCACTTTTATAGTCTCACAAAACAACGCGTATCTCAAATACTAATTAATATTTTGACGTGAAATTTTGCATAGATGTCAACAAGAGTACAACCAACTTACAGAAAAAAAATTTACCGATCACAGTAGTATCTATATTTAAATATCTCAATCAATATTGAATTGTTTTTTCTTTTTTATTTGAATATTGCTAACAAATTATAGTTCTTAAAGAGTTTTCGATGTATTTGTCCAATTCTTGCCAGGTTTGCTTGGCTTTTGCGATTACAAAGGTATACTAAATTCAGTGGGCCAGATCACAAAAATTTATTGTGGGAAAGCCTCTAAATTCACTTGAGTAGTATATTATATTCATTCACCGTGAGATATTTTCTCATCCATTCGTAGTCTATTAAATGTAAATTCATTGCAGAGAAGTGATATTTCACAATAACTTTGCATTGAAATGAAATAATATTCGATTTTCAGTTGAATTTTAGTTCTGGTTTATAACACTTGGATAACGTTGGATTTAGAAGGCATAATGGAAATTCTTATTGTGCTACCGATTTTAGCAGTGTCTTCAGTATTCAGTGGGTTTTCATTACCATAACAGTAGTTTGTATTTTGAAGTTAATTTTCGACGAACTTATAGCAATAACAATAGCTGCTGCTGAATCTGAACCGCCACATTCTAGTTCACTTCGGGTTATGGCCGAGGCTGCGATTGAAGATTGCTACGAGGACTCGGCTCAAAGTGTCAAAGTGCAGATAACCGATGGTAACTTAGCCATACTTTGAAATATAGGCAAGCATGCTGTTGAATTTTTCACTACTATCTTACAGAGAGTTTTGATGAAATATTGAAGGGTTCTCGCACTAATTTATCTCACAATGCGAAGTGTTTACGTTACTGTATTATGCGCAAAAATGGCTTGGTGGGTATAACATTTTTTTAAATATTTTTTTAATTAGTTGCAGAAGACCGCTTAGACTAGGTTCAGTAAAAAAATCAGTTTTCTGCAAAATCATTGTTAATTTAGAGAGCATGGTGGAAAAAATTGAGCTTTTAAGTAGAAACTCTGGTTGGAGAACAAAACAATATTTTTGTTTCTGTAGACTGAAATCAGAAAAGTTTATTGGCACTTATACATATATCAGCTAGATACTTCGTCCAACTTCTCCTTCTACGAGTATTTGTGATGTTAGCCCTCATATTATTTGTCTAAACTATAACCTCAAATAAGATGGGTTTGTAGTTTAGACGTTATTAATCGACTCGGAATTAGTCATGGATTAAATTAGAAGACTTTTCACCATTGGGGAGTTGCCAACAGAAGCTCGCTATTAGAATAAAACACTTTTTTTTTTTGTGTTTTTCAAAATAGACTTCAAACGATCCTGCGGTCGCATATTAGAAAAGTTAATTTGAAATATTCTTCATAGGAAAAAACTGTTTAAGACTTAAGTTGAAGGTGTATGAGGAATGTTTTTTTAAGATATAACGAATGACTGTTGATGCTTGTAAATTCTAAAAGGAAACATCGGAGACCTTATAAAGCACATACGTATATAAAGCAGTATGACAGTCGGCTAAGGAAGATTTCCATGTATCTGCCTGTATATAAACAAACTGAACTCAGTTTTTGAGATATCGATATGAAATTGTATACATGTAATTTGCTCACCAAAAAGCTGGTCATTTACCGGAACCGGAACGGAAAATGATCGATCGAACTCAAGACCTTGCATGCAAAACTTTTTTATTTCCCGACATATCTTTACGAAATTCCTACTGGATTATTGGCATCGTTACAATCATCGAAGAAATAGTTCAGAGCCAACAGCTGTATCATATAGCTTTCATACAAAGAGAACGACTGACTTCAAGTCCTTGTATGGAAACTTTTGTATTTTTTCTATCGTCACGAAATTTGGCTCAGATTACTATCTGATTCAGCGCTATAATCTCCGTAAATTTTATTCATATCGGCCCACTTTAGCATATACAAGTACATACTCTCATACCTTCCAGTTAAATAGCACTATCAGAAAGAATAAAAATTTTATACCCTTTTATGGTATACAAAATGCACCTGTGAATAGTATTATAGTTTCGGTACAGACGACGTTAATAGTTTTTTTCTTAAATGATATTTAGCAACTTTTTTTTGAAATCTTTCCTTCGTCGATTTTTACGATGAGTAAAAACGAAGAAGTTCC